TTTAAAAAAGTAATGAAGAAATAAGATGAATAAATATTAATTCCTAATTACATATATAATTTATTTTACAATTTAAACTGTAAAATTACGAAGAATTAAATGAGAGGCAGCCCCACCACCTTATATTTAGTAGTTGATATGATTAATACGTGCCACAGTTTTCTAGTTTGTTGAAAAATATATACCACACATCTTATACGCGACATTAATACGTGTTAATTTGTCACAACCCTAAAGAATATCAATTGAGAGCAAGAAAAGCCATCGATGAAGAGAAAATCCATGGAAGGAAACAGAAAAGATCGGATGCATGCCGTTGATGACGAAGAAGAGCAGAAAATCAATGCATTCTTTGCTCTGGTTAAGAACTTCAGAGACGCCCATACCCAATTGTCGATGGGGTTTAAGGATTCAAAGGAGACACCAAATGGAAAACCGAAAGCAACCCAATCAAGTTGGACCCCTTCATTCCAATGGGAAGATTTCGCCGACGATCCGCTGCTCAGAAACGAATTGCTAAAGCTTTCCAGTTCATCAAAGAATGAAGGGCAATGCAAAACGGAAGGAAAAGCCCCAGAACTCGACCTCAACCTCTCCCTCTGATCGTATCTGCAGTTTGGCTATCGAGGTTGATTCTCAATTTTGTTCATTTTACTTTATATATTTATGTTTTCTTTGGGTTTTTGTGACGAACTGATGGTACATGTTGAAGCAATATAAACCGTTTGTGATGAATTGTTGTTAAATTGTGGAGAATGGATTCCTTTAACATCATTTGGGTGGTACTTGAGTGTGTATCTACTTTGTGTTCATCATGTGTTTGATTTAATTCCCCAGCCAAGATAGGTATTTGTTCATCTTATATTGGTAGCTTTTGGGGATGGATTGGAAGTCAGATGCAAATTTGAATTCTTTGGGGAATGTTACAAAAGGGTTTTGGGTCAGCTACACTGTGTTATCTCATATTTGATGTTGTCCAGCTATATTTCTCATTTGAATAGAAGACAAAGATGATAACCTTTTTTATTAATTTCCTTGGGAAAATTTTCATTGGATCCACTCACAAAGACAAATATGTTGAAATCATTAGATAGGGACATTAGCTAATAATGAGAGACGTGATGAGTGAAACCAGAAAGAGATCATAGGTCGATGCTATGAATACAACAACAATCCCTACCCACCCAAAACATTCCTATTGGCAATTGAGAACGTAGGACCCCATTTATCTGCAGTCTTACTTGGATGCTTCATGGGAAAATTTTCCTGACCTCTGCCTTTTTCTTTCTGAAACTGTTCCAAAGGTTCCCTTTTGATCTCATGAATTGTTTTCCAAAACACACCCTTTTTTTTTACTCATGCTTGAGTGTACTGGAAGGACGACCCTTCTATTGTATTCTTTTGAGTGAAAATGACAAGACAGTTCTTACCTACAAACTTAACAGCCCACCAATTTCATGCACGTATGGGATATAAAACATTTGCTCTGTTGTTTTAAAGGAACTTTCTCTTTCTAAATTGCAGAGAATGATCCATAGTGCAGCAAAGACTACTAATTTCCTTTAATCACAAGCATTACTTTGCATATATTTGTGGCAAGAAAAGAAAAGCAGCTCAAATCTATTGCTACAAATTACAATCTTTAACCTTGAGGAGAAAGAGAGGAGGGACTTACAGAAATTCTTAGCAAACCAACACACAAAAGAAAAAGATGCAACTTATACAACTAGTACATACATCAAATTGAGCCATGAATTTCCACTAGTTTTTTTTTTTCCTTGATACATAGAGATTAGGGATTAAACCTTAGACTTGTGACTAAAAGTATAGGTAACTCTGCAATCGAATTACGTGGCTTATGGTTCCACTAGTTTGATGATATGTTAAGAGGACTCTTTCCCAAATTAGATGGTCCTGTTTCTGCAGTTCTTGGACTCTGCAGCCCTCTTCCAATTGATCTAGGACTCCTTTCTCCTCTTAGTTCACTAACACGAGGACTGTAGGAATGTGACAGCCGTGGGCTTTCAATACTGGTTCTAGGGTCATTCGCTGGGGTTTCAGTGGAGCTTGTGATCTTAGGACTACAAGCATGCCTGAATTCACCCCGGCTTCTAGTGATAACTTCATCTAAAATCTCCCCATCTCCAGCATAGGATGCTCTGGCACCAATCTCTGTTTCTGTTGCCAGAGTAAAGGGTAAAGCCGGTGCCTCTTCATACTCAGCAGCATCCAAGTCCTGAAGGTGTGCCCCTTTGAAGAATCTGGGCAAGAAGTATTGCCTCACAGGAACCAGAATCATGATCATTAGCGGGAACATGACCCCAGCTATCGGTATCCAAGTAAGCCCAAAACAGATGAGCAAATAAGTTGTTTGGAAAATTGTGAATATTGCAATTGTTTTGAATGGAACAGTCTCCACAAATGTTGCATGGTACTCCTCAAGAATTCTGCAGGAAACAAGGCATTAGCTATATAGCAATATAGCAAAACAAGAAGGAAGATAAAAGAGATTCTTATTTTGATGATCTTACTTATATCTTCTGCTTGGAGCTGTGAAGAGTAGTAAGATTCTTTCCCAAAATTGGTTTCCTGGTAAACTCTCAATAGCCATGAAAGCAAAATAGCCCCAGAGGACTGAAGTAGGGATCTTCTTGAGGAAGGGCATAGCTGCAACACATCCTCCCACCATTATTGCCTGAAGCAAGTTACTGACTCTCTGCTCTTTTACCTCAACAGGCAACAGATCATCAATCTCCTTCTCTATATCAAACAAAGTTTCATCAATAGGGGCATTGATGTTTCCAGTACATGTAGCTGCTTGAATTGTTGATTCCTTTAATTCATTTAGCCCCTGCATAGAAAATTTATGAACTTAAGATTTTTTTTTTTTTCCACTAAAATTTTCAGAACTAAACCAACAAAACTAGTAGAGGTAGCATACTCGAAGTGAAGGCTCCTGGTAGACTAAAGGAGTCTGCATTTGATGATAGGCTTCTTGCATATTTCCATACAACTGTCCCAAGCTAGCATTTTTTCTGATGCTCTTGCGTGCAGTCAAGACAAGTCGATTACGAAGCAACTGCATAATTTTGAAATGCCATTGAAGAGAATATACAGGAAAGTTTTGAGTTTAATCAAACAAATTAAAACAGTCTGTTCGGGTCTTTGCAGGTTGAAATACCTGGTGTTTGAGAGTCGCCAGGCTTTTTGTATGCATGGGAGATTGTGGGATGACTCCATTTGATGGTGGGATTCCAATCAGGCCACACAACAGTGTCTGTATCAAGAAACTAATCAAACATAAACGAAGGAAAGAATGGAAAACTTGGGACTAAAGAGAGAAAGGGAGGTTTTGCACACCAAGAAACCCAGAAGAAGTAAGTCGTAATGATAAGAAGATGGTTTTCTCAAATTGAATTCTTTCTGCTGAGACAGCTGAGATGCTACACTATGATCAAAGTAATAAAGCACTGCTATCATTGTTGCCGGAATTAAAGCTCCGATTATGTAGACCACCGGAACATTCAGCATCTCCTGTTATTTTAAGATTCAAGGTATATATTAGTTATATAATCTTGGTCAAGTAGATAAGAAAATTGGTAACTTTAGCGAAATTAACAGGCCTTGATCACTGTCCAATTCTCATGAGCGCCAGGTGACCATGGATTTGGGCTGAAGAGACGGCGGGGTATTCCTTCTGGGATGCTTCCGGCCGGGATGTAGGACACAGCTGTCCATATCAGAACCATAATTGGCACACCATAGTCTGCTATAAGGCTTCTAAGCCAACCTGTACAAAAAAAGGCTCTCCTTTTACTTAATTCCCAGAAAGAAAAGAAAAAGGGTAATCAAGATTGGAAACTTCTAGGGAAATTGTAGAAGTTACTCACCAGAACCATAACGCCAGGACCTTGCTTTCCGGCTTTTCAATGCAGTAAGCAGAAGGCCGAATGAGAGAACCAGTGCAAACATGCCATTGGCAAACCTCCATGAAGGTAGAAATTCTGTCAAATTCGGATTTTCGCGTTTTGGAATTCTAAACTCATCCACAAGGCCCTGGGAATCACAGACGCATAAAATTCTCAAGCAAGATTGAAAAGCACTAGTATATATACACTTGACAATTAAATTAACTGTGTGCTTACTTTGATAGCTTGTTGCATGAAAAGCATGGCAATAAGCAGACCAAACAGTTCTCCTGCAACTCGGGTAAATCTGTTGATTATGGAACAAGCTCCCAAGAAAGCCAGTAAGAACAACAGGAATGCAGTCCATACACAGACCCTACAAAAGATTCAAAAAACCAGACAGATTCTGTCAAAACAGATCTGGAATTTTCGGACAATGTCAAAGAAGACATGTTGGGAAAATCAAAGGAAATGGCTCACCATCCAGTCCAGGCTAGGAAGAGGTTCCGACCCAAATCTGGTCTTTCCTTAGCAAAGTTAAACATGAATGTGTACATGATCACTGTCGGCTCTGCAACCCCTAAAATCAGCAAAGGTTGACCTCCGATGATGGAGTGAATGAGCCCACAAAGGGCCGTTGATGCCAGTGTCTGAACAGCCGTCAGAACTCCATCTAAAGTCAGATTTCATGTTAGAAAATCAAACTCAAACAGAAAAATCTTCCCTCTTTTCACCCCATTTTGTCCAGCTGAGATCATCAAAAGGTCGACAACGAAAGCCAGTACATAATTCAATCAATTTTAATATCCAGAAAAATCTAGTAAGTTCATGATTATGAAAAATACCAGTATTTCTCTCAAGTTGCTCGCCAAATGAAATGACTGGAATTGCTGAAGCGAAGAAAATGTATGTGGTGGGAGCCAGAATCCTACATTAAAAATAAAAATATAATGGTATAGTAAAGGATCAAGCCTAAAATACAAGAACAATGATATTGGCATTGAGAAAAAAGTCACAAAGAAAGAAACTTTAGCACATACCTGAATCCTGCTCTGAATCCACCGGTCCAATCTTGTTTGTAACACATTAATCTTCCTCTAAGATCATTTTTAATGCCGCGAAATGGCACAAATGTCTCATCCATGATTTCTTTAATCTATTTGAATCCCAAGTTCTTATTAATGCACTTTCTTTCTCAAATATGTCTCTTGAGAAGAAGATAGAAATTGCATTGACTTGAGTATACTTGATTTCTAAAGAAGTTTAGCTAAGAATGTAGATGCTAAGAAGACCCAGAAAGCCACTAAAAGGTTGTATGAGTTGGAGATATGGGACCAAATTAAATGGAAGAGAATATTGAGACTCGAAAGGCACAAGAGAAAAAATTGAGGAAGGGTCCAAATATATGACAACAATGGTGTGAACTTAACCATCACTGATTGAGCAGATTTTGTTTTTCTTAATCTTCATGTAACCTCCCCATTTTCTGTTCCTTCCAATTTGATTGACCCACGTCCTCGTTTGCGGAACATGTGGTCCTACATTTTTTTGTGGGTTCAAAGTCAGATAAGATCCTTTAAATCATTCCCAAGGTTACCGCTGAAGTTGATCTTCAACAATAAAATGACAGACTGGAGATTGCCCAGGTTTCAAGATTATTTTCAGTTGTATTGTAATGCTCCGTATCTCCGGTAATGACAATTTGTTCAATCACCCCACTCATCCAGATCTAAATCTACAGCTAATTAGACATATATATTCATACACTACTCCCTTGTCCCATTTCACTTGTAACTGTGTGCACGTATTTTTTTAAAGCAATACTTTTGTATAAAATATGAATAAAAATTCAAAAACTTTTGTCATATGTAAGTTTTGCAAAGTGATTTTAATTTATATAAAAAATTTTCAATTACTATTTATATGTTATGAAAAAACATTACATAAAAATACGCACAAAATGTGATAAGAAATTATTTTTCTTCTTAAGATGTATTGGGTTAAAGGTTAATTTTTTTAGAAAAAACTTTCCCTAGAAAATGATTGGTTAAATTAAAATATTGAACAAAAAGTTAAAAAATATTATACAAAAAGTTGCTTAATTTTGTAACGAAATTTTGTTGGGTTGTTACATTTGTTGTATTTAGTAACAAATTGACATGAAAGGTTAATTTTTTTATAACTCCCAATATTCGAAAATTATATTAGATTTTGATTAATTTGAAATCGAGTTACGTTGGATCTCATGAGAAGAAACTCTCTCGGTGCTTATTTTTTCATTCACAAAACTTGAATTCAAAATCATGTTTAAAAGGATTTGAGTTTTTTTTTTTTTATTTGAATCAACAAATTGTTAGCAGATGAAAAGTTAATAGAAAAAGTTGTTAAATAAGTTTTATATAAATAAAATTGTGGAAGACATTTTTCCTTTAAAAGAAGATAAAAATAAAATTTTATTAATTAAAAATTGTATTAAAAAGTTATAATTTAAACTGTAAAAATATTAAATATTTTTATAAAATCTTAAATAGGGACATGTCTCAAATAAAATAAACCGAACAGCTTCTTAATGTATGTGGTGCCTATACCTTGAGTTTAGTACTTATAAACATCAACTTTTCACGTATCATCCTCTTGTTACAATCAAATTCGCCTTGTAAGAGATGTTCCACTATATATACATGTTGATTTCCTCCCCTACTAGCTAAAATGTGCTCTTACTCTTCACTATATTTGTACTTATTTAAGTATTAGAGTGTTATTTCTATATTTTGCTCTAGCTAAGACTTTTTTGTGGTTGTTGGTGAAGTGAACCTAGTGGAAAAGGTGACGGGATAGACCGTGAAGGTAAAATTGTGTTTTAAAATGCAAGAAAATGACAGAACCCCCAAATCCCCCCATACAAATAAAGGGGAAGGGACAGATTCACCCCTCAAAAAAATACATAGACAAATTGCTTCTCCAAATTATAAAGCAAGACAAATGATCTATTTTTTAATGTGTGACATCAGTTTTTTTGTTAAAAATTGCTTACATGACAAACGAAATTTTGACGTCACACATTAAAAAATGGGTGATTTGTCTTGATTTATAATTTATAGGAATAATTTATCACTGTATTTTTTTGAGGGACAAATCTATCTACCTTCCTATTTGAGGGACAAATTTGGGGGTTTTATCGCAAGAAAATAGACTTACATTTTGCAAGGTATGAAGAAAGTAGTGAATTTTGGACGACATATATGAAGAAAGTAATAAATTTTGGGCAGCATATATGAATCCAGTGTGGAGGAATGGAAAGGCAAGTAAGGATTTTTATATGTACTATGTCATTGTTCATTTGCTGTTTATAACTTAGGTACTGGTTCATACTACAATACATCTCTAATCTCATATTAGTACTAATTAATTAAGCAATGAGCATTGAGCAACAAGGCTTCATCTATTAATGTATATGTATATATTGTATGAGGGTAGGTTAGACTTTTCACAGAATATATCCCTGTATATATATACATACGCTGGATACATAATGGAATGGGAAAAACATTATTTTGCTTTATGGTATCAGAGCTAATTTCGGCATCAAATTGTGTGATCTAGGGTTTCTCTAAGGTTTTCTTTTCTCATTTGATCTACGGTTTTCTTCCTTCTTTTGTCTACCTACATCATGTCTAACTAATCTTCCTCTTCAACTGATCTTTCTCCTACTTTGTCACCCACTAAAACAATCTCTATGTCTTCAATTTTCTCACATCTTGTCTTATATGTTTCCTACATCAAAAACTATGTTACAGAGACCCTAAACCATAACAACTACATGCTATGGCATGAATTGATGGTTCTAGTTCTCAAAAGCAAAGGAGTTTATGGCCACATAAATGGTTCTCACCCATGTCCACCATCTATAAATCTTGATTATGAGCTTGGAAGTAGATTGATTACTAAGTGCTATTAAGGATTCAAGCCACCATCTCTACTGATGTTCTTCAATTAATTATTCAATTGGGTAAGTCTTTGACAGCAAAATTGGCGTGGGATGCCATCGAACTTGCTTATCAAAATCAACTCTCTACACAACAACTATATCTTCAACAAGAATTTTGCTTTCTTAAAAAACAACCTGGCCAATCTTTGATGGATTATTTACAGCATGTGAAATCTTTATCTGATAGAATGCATGGTAATGGAGATTATGTGACAAATAGGGATTTGGTTCTTTGAACAATTGTTGGGTTAGATCAAGCATTCTTCGTGGCTAAACAGACTATACCCCAAAGGACATCGTTCCCCACCTTCTTGGAACTTAGATCTCTTCTTTTAATTGAAGAAGCTAATCTCTAGTGGGAATCTCAATCTGCTTTTGGGCAATTGTCTTCAATCAATCCACATTTGTTACAGACAATGCATGTTCGTTCTAACCCTCAACTTTTCCATGTTGGAAGCTCTAACCGCAGTAGACGATGGGTTAGTCGCAATACTAGGGGTGGTAGAAATCGAGGTAGTCAAGGAAGATTCGGTGGCAGTCGGCAACAATTCCTTGATGGTAATCGAAACTCCTATGATGGTGGTTGATAGCACCTGTATGATGGCAGTTAACAATTAAGATTCGGTGGCAGTCGGCAACAATTCCTTAATGGTAATTGAAACCCCTATGATGGTGGTTGATAGCACCTGTATGATGGCAGTTGACAATTCTTCGGTGGCTATTCCCAGCAGCAGCAATTTTTAGATGGTTATAATCATGGATTTACATCACCTTATTTCAGTTTTTCCAATCAGAATTTTTCCAAGAATAATGCCTAGAACCAAATTACTGGAAGGCAAGCCTTGCCGTTACTGTTGCCCACTTCTGTTTCTCCTACTGCTTGCAAATGGTGTATGGGCCTTAATCATCAAGCTTGTGATTGTCCCTTGCTAATTACTCGACCCAATACAAGATCTAGTTCTTCTCATTAATCTTTGTATGCTTCCCTTTATCCTTCAACTTCTGATGTTGTTTGGGATTTTGATATAGGAGCAAACACTTAGTGCTACTAATGATCCAAGTAATCTTTCACATTCCTCTTTTTATTTATTATCTGATTACATACAAGTTGGTAATGGGTAGTTATTATCGGTTACTTTGTCGAGTCATACCATTCTTTCTTCTACCAATCGTCATTTTCGTTTGAACAATGTGTTAGTTTCTTCTTATCTTACCAAAAATCTTATGTCTGTTTGTCAATTTACTCGTGATAATGACTACAGCATTAATTTTGGGCAAAATACCCAAATTCACCTCCAAAGTATAATGGTAGAGACAGATCCACCTCCGAACAAAAACGGGAACAAATTCAGTCACAAAGTTTTTGACTTAAACAAATCACTTCAAATTTAACGTGTGACATCATCTGACGTCAGCAATCTGTTAATTTGACGTCAGATGACGTCAACAATTTGTTATTAGCAATATAACAAATTAACGATTGTTGATGTTAGATGATGTGATACGTTAAATTTGAGGTGATTTGTCCAAGTCGGAAACTTTATGAGTGGATTTGTCTTCATTTTTTGTTCGAGGGTGGATTTGTTCCTACTATTATACTTTGGGGGTGGATTTGGATATTCTACCTTAATTTTGATTCTTTTGGTTTTTTATCAAGGAGGACAAAACACAAAATGTCCTTCTTCACTGCAGTAGTCTGGATGGTCTTTATTCCTTTGTCAACAGTTCTTCTTCGAGTATTCCAAAGGTTCATTTTTGAGTATTCCAAAGGTTCATTTTTGAGTATTCCAAAGGTTCATTCTACAATTTTGTCTCCTAACTTATGGCATCTTTGACTTGGTCATCTTGGTTTTGAGTCTCTTTCGCAGCTTATTAGGCATGGTTTACTTCTAGTCAACAATATAGCTTTGTCTTCTAGTTTATGTCATACGTGTCGATTGGGAAAGCATGTTCGTCTCCCTTTTTATGAGTCACATTCTAGGACTTTAGCTCCTTTTGAGTTAATTCATTCTGATGTTTGGACATCTCCAACTTGTTCCTTTTTTGGTATTAAATATTATTTATTATTTTTAGATGATTTGCATCATTACTTATGGATTTATCCTATGCATTCCAAGTCTCAGGTTTATCACTGTTTCTTCGTTTTTCTATATATGTTACCACACAATTTGGTGCCCAAATAAATGCTTTGCAATGTGACAATGGTGTTGAATTTGATAATGTGCAATTTGCCACTTATTTTCAACAACATGTTATTCATTTACATTCTTCTTGTCCCTTGACTCCCTAACAAAAT